TTTTTTTTTTTTTTAAGAAAAGTGTCTACTTTCTGTGGAAATTTTTGATTCTTTCAGTCCCAAATAAAATTATTTTTATTTGGAAATGCTTCTGCAGGACCTCATGAGAGTTGTGATTTGGGTGCCTTGTGTTCCCATTCTCCTTTATAGGTTGGGCTCCACAACTGGACTTTATATCCCATGATGCACCAGGCCAGGGGACTCCCATGGTGCACTACGTGGCTTGCCAAGAAGGAAGACCATGGTACATTATGGAAGATTCAGTCCAGCCAGAATCTCTGGCTTTTAAAGGAGAATGGAGGCATGAAGCACCCAAACTACATCTCTTATGATACATCACATTGGCATTTCCAAATACAAATGTTTTAGTTTTTGACTGATAAATTTTGATTTCCGATTTTTTGCCACAATGTAAAAAATGTCCACAGAAAACACTGTTTTCTGACAAGCTCTAGTGTTAGCTATAATACACTGCATTGGATAGAAATGATGCCGTACCTCCTGTATCTATTTCCATCTGTAATGGTTGTCCTTTCAATAATGGAATCACAGAGGATTTGTGCAAAAAAATCACTCATACTGAGGATATGCAAAAATACATAGAATCCAAGAATCAGTAGAACTAATACTGAGGCTATAGAATCAGGACTGGAAGGGACCTCAAGAGGTCATTTAGTCCAGTCCCCTGCATTCATGGCAGGACCAAGTATTATCTAGACCATCCCTGATAGGTCTAGATCTCAGGGGAAGATTATCTTACATGTGCCTGCTGCGGGGTTTCTTGCACCTTCCTCTGAAGCGTTTGGCACTGGCCACTGTCAGAGACCAGAAACTGGAGTAAATCCAGTACAGCAATTCCTATATTCTTGTCCTTTTTTAAAAAAATAGATTGTTCTCAGATTTGTGTTTTGGGATTATTTTGGTTTTTGTTTTGTTTTTCCCCCTTCAAAAAGGAGACATTGACTTCTTTGCACATTGTCAGTGTCAGTAATGGGCCATCAGAGGCCTGATCTATACTAATTTGGTAGTGGTATGACTATGGCAGTTACAGTTATGACTTTTTTTCCCTGACCTATTTTTATACTGGTACAACCCCTTGTGTGGACATAGTCATACTAGTATAAAATAGCTTTATACCATTCAGCTTTTCCCCTTTCTCTACTGGATTAAGCTATATAGATATATGCACCTTTTTACTAGTATAACTGTGTCTGTGCTAGGTAGTTGTACCTCTTTAGCTACATTGTTATCATTAAATAGTGGTATAGTTAAAGCAATACAACTTTTATGTGTAGACAAGACCTGTGAGAAACTTCAACTGACTGAAGAGTTCTGCTCTCTAAATGGTCTAATTCAATAGCTAGGGTATGTCAAAATATCATTGGAACAGTCAGTGAAAGTGTACTTTTTTGACCTATTTGCTCCAAAATCAGGTTTCATCCCATTCCGTGATATCTCCAATCCAATCACAATTCTTTGAATTGTAGATTAACTATCAATAACTCAGTAAAGTACACATGTCAACACTGTTTAATCTCCACTCAAAACACAGTTTTTTAACATAAGATTTGTAACATACTCATTACAATAGGTGACTGTATTAGCTAAAAGAAATAATATACATAGTAAAAAATAGTATATGCATTAGGAGAACCAAACTTCAACTTTTCCCTGTTGTTATCAGGGTAATATAATAGCTATAAATGTATGTAGTTTTTAACCAAATAAAACAATAACAATACCAGATTATTACATACCAAGTTTCTCCTCAAAAAGCCCGCACACTGCAGTCCAGTACTACTTTAGGGGGCTAAACAAGAAGCACTTATTTCTTCACATTAGTCAATGTGTCAGAAGCTTTTTATCTCAAGGATCTTAAATGGTAAGAACAGTGTATTTCAACTTCAGAATTGTCATACATCAAAGATTTTGGAGGGCTTCTTTTTTAAATTGGCGGCTGTCATTTAATATACAGTATGATCCAAAGCACATTATTTCTGAATGTTACCAGGGAGATTTCATTGGCTTGTGTAACATTTCCAGTCTTTGATATAATTGGTTAGCTATAATATATAGCTTTCTTAACCTAATATCTTTTAATGACTAGTGTACCTGGTGGCTTGGGGTATCACATCTTCTGTTTTCTCTTTCCTTTCTTGTCAAAAAATGTTACAATAGTAATAAAAAGTGACATTATTTTAAAAGATAAGAAGCACCAAAATTATTTTCTATGTGACCTTTACAGGTACCAGAACAAGCAGCTTCTGTTAGCAAAATAGTTCAAGCTTTTGATTACAAAGGATTTTTGATATTATTCCATACAGAAATATATATATATATTTAATATAGAGAGGGCTTAATAACTTTTCCTGACTATATATATATATATATATTGTCAGGAAAAGTTATTAAGCCCTCTCTATATTAAATATATATATATATTTCTGTATGGAATAAT